CGCCTTCCCGCGACCCGCCCCTCCAGCGGCCCCGCCCACTCACAGCACCGCCAGCTGCAGCGCAGACAGGTTGCTCTGCGCGCCGTGCAGGCAGAGCACGGTAGCCGCGGGCCCGCTGAGCTCTCCGCGCCAGCCGCTCGAGTTGGGCTGGAGGGGGTGGGCAGGCGTGAGTGAAGGGAGGAGACGCCAGCCCCTCCTGCCCCCGGTGCCCAGCCTCCCCTGCTGTCCCTCCCCGGCCCCGAGGGCGCGACTACCTCCTGCGATCGGTGCTCGAACTGCAGCAGACGGCTGAGCAGCAGCATGTAGGACAGGAAGCCCGACCGCCCGCGCTGGCTCATGCCCGTGTCCCTCTGGAATGCAAGGCCCGCCCATCACCAGCCCTGCCCCAGCCCGCGGGCAGGGGTGTAGGGCCGGCATGGAGGGCAAGGACCCCACAGCCCCCCACCTGTGTGGTGATTAGCTTGAGGACCAGCTGGCAGTCTCCCTGCACGCGGGAGGCACTGGAACGCGGTTCCAGCTTGAACCAGCGGTCTTCACCGGCCACGGGCACCTCCTAAGGGAAGGGGGTTCAGACTGGCAATATCTCCTCCTGCTCCCTCCCACAGACCTCTGTTTCCCACTGAACACAGGCCATCGGCACAGGGTGAGCACTCCGGGGTGCCTGGACACCAGAGGCCCCAGGAGGCTGTTCCCTCCCCCTCCCCTGCAGCACAGTGCCCCCACCCAGCCCAAGAAGGTTGGGAGCGGCTTGGGGGAATCACAGGACATAGCCACCAGGTGTCCCCGGAGGGTGAGACACCACAAACGTGCTCTGGGAACGAGGCCCTGGCCCCCACTCACCCGGATGGGTATGTTGAGGCACCCCAGGAAGTCATCTGTGTGGTCCTCCGTGGGCCCTGCTGTCCCATTCGCACGGGCCGACTTGACAATCTGTTTGAAATACCTGGGCAAAGCAGGGTGGGCTCCCACCTGGGGTCCCTCCACCTGCTGGCCCATGTCTGGGGGGCACCAAGATCCCACCTGTCATACCTGCTCATGCCCTTCAGGCCGATGACTTCATTCAGCTTCCTACACGCTTCCACCAGAGACACATCATCATCATGGTCCCTAGGAGTGGGGCAAGAGGGCAAACCTCATCTGGCTGGGGCCTGGCTGGGCCCTGAATGTCCCCTCTCACCGCCACACCGCCCCCCCAGACCAGGTGCACCCACACCCCCTGCCCTGCAGGGCCCAGGGGCCTATACCAGATGTCTAGGTGCAGCTGGTCCGTGCTGACATCCTCAATCTCACTATAAGGAAAACAGAGAGATGGCCAGAGGGTGCAGGACGATCCTCTGCCCAGAGCTAGGGGAGGGACCCTTTCAAGAGCTGCCGGAAGGGGTCCATGAGCTCCAGCTTGTAAGACAGGCTGTCTGGATTTGAATCCTGGCTGTGTGGCACCTCACTCTGAGGTGATGATGTCCTCTGGAAGGCGGTCCTATGACCAGCCCTGCTCCGTTCTGAGATGGCACGCGTCCTGGCGTAGCAGGCAGCCCCTCTCCCCCACCACCCTGCCACCCAGCTGGAAGAGGGGCCTTACAAGAGGAAGTTCTCCTTCCAGACAGGGTTCAGGGTGCTGCTCTTGACCTCGGTGACCTGGATGCACTTGGCCGGCAGTGGGCCTCCACGCTTGCTGCCTTTGCGGAAGCTGAAACGCTGCTCCTTGTGCGGGCCCGGCTCCCGCGGGGCGCCCGAGGCCGGCAGGATGCCCAGCATGCAGTATGGGTCACTGAAGCCTGAGACACCGCGGGCGCCTCAGTCCCCGGTCCCAGGCCCCCCAACCCCGTCCCTCCACGGTCCCTCCATGGCCACCAGGCCTGGGCGCAGCCAAACTCCTGGCTGGTCCCCACTCACCATTGGGGTCTTTGGCCAGCAGGTTCTTGGCACGCATGACAGAGACTTTCAGGGCATATGTGGGGGCCTGTGGGCCAAAGGTGCCGAGGGGCCTCCTGAAGGAGGCTCCGTGTGGCCAGGACAGGGCCCTGGTCTGTGTCCTCTCCACCCCCGAGCCCTAGCACTGTGGCTGGTCAGCGTCTGCCCAGACCAAGTGGCAGCCTCACCTTGGCCTTCTTCACACGCTCAATGGCCTCGGCGTGCTCCTCGGGGCTGGTACCAAACACCTGTAGAGGGTGGGCAGGTGTGAGGGCCCAGGGACCCCCCAAAGCAGGGCTGGCCAGTGTCCCGGGGGCCTCACAGAGCAGAGGAAACACACCCAGGGGAGGAGGAAAGATGTATTTGTCTATCCATCCATCCTGTATGTCTGTCCCTCTGTTAGTTTATCCTTTCTACCCTTCTCTGTGTGTCTGTGTGTTTTTCCATCGCTCCGTCCTTCCGGGCATGCCTATCAGCCTGTATGTATGTCTGCCTGTGTACACACGTGTGTGTGGGGGGGTGTGTTCTGTATGTGAGGCAAGCCTGTATTATTTGGGTGATGGTGACATCACCAGGCAGACAACAGGGTTGGGAGAAACAGTGGTCTCCATTTTCCCCAGAGCAGGGTGGGGCCGGGCCAGCAGGGGGCATGGAGGCAGTGGGACTCACCTGCTGCAGGTAGCCCAGTAGGGTCTCCTGGTCATCCACCTGGTCAGGGCCCATGGTCCCTGCACGGTAAAGGACTGTGTACAGGGCTTCCTCATAGAGCATCTCCACCTGCGGGCGGGGAGCGGGGTGCACCCTGAGTCCCAGCCACCCCACCCCTGTCCGCCTCAGCCCCGGGCCCTGAGCCCGGGCCACTGGGGGTCCAGGCACCTTGGTTCCCCGCCCCTCCCACCCCGCATCCCAGCCCCCAGGAGCTCCACCCACTGGCAGAGTCTGGTCCCAGCATTGGTACCTTTGCACCAGCTGGGCCCTCCATTGGTCTGACCCCCAACTTCTGCTCCTTACTGGCTTCCATGGGAAGTCCTGGCCCTCACCCCTGCCACCTTTGCTGTCCGCCTGTCCCTAGAACCTGGGCCTGGCATACAGGAAGTGCTCCCAGACTCTCCCTGGGGCCAGAACCCCATCCCCCTTACCTCCTCCTGGGTTAGGGCTCTCAGGCCACGGTTGGGGTCCACAGGCTCAGCAGGGGCTGGTGAACCACTGCACAAGAGGACCTGTGAGGGGCACTAGGGTGAGGGCCTCCTGTGGGGACACTCCAGGGAGGGAGGGAGTTGAGCTGAGGGGTGGGGGCTTGGTGTAGAGGGGGCTGGGGGGAAGGCCCAGCATGGTGCCCCGACACTGGGCAGCAGCTCTGAGCTGTCCTCACCTCGGGGCACGGCAGGCTCTGTCTGCCTTCCCCCTTCTTCAGAATAAGGCGCATCTGCGCGAAGAACTCCACACCATCCCCAGGTTTCCTGCAGAGAAAGGCCAGGCTGAGGGTCAGCGAACGCTCCCTGAAGCTCAGGGCTCACAGCACGCACCTGTCCCCTGCCCAAGGCCAGCCACCAGGCCCTACAACTTGAGGGGACTGCCTGGGTCTCCACACGGTCGAGGGCCCAGTCTGATGTCCACAGTGTGGCCCCCCCCCACCCTCTGGCCTTGGTATCACTCCCCCAGGCTTCCCCCGGAGGTCGGGGGAACGGGAGAGTGGGGTCCAGCAAGAGGAGGGCGGCCAGGTGCACGTGACTGTACGGGATCAGGCGTGGGGCACCCACCAAGCCCCCGCGGTGGGCTCCTGTGGGTCAGTGCTGGTGCTCCCAGGCTCTCCCTCGGTCCTCCGGCGGAAGGACGGGCGCACCTGCACTTGCCTGAGCACACTGCTCTTGATCTCCAGCAAGGTCGTCATGGTGGGTGATCTGTGGGAGAGAGCCTCTGGATGTCCACCAGCTGGCAGCTCTGCTGTGCTAGCCCCAGTAATCACATCAGGTACACATCCAGCAATGATTGAATGAGCCAGAAACCGACAGGAGCTGCGTTTCTGGCGGCCGGCGCAGGTTCCCGGTGGGGCAGGAGGGGGCACCTGAGCCTCCCTGGAGCTCAGCCCCCCTGCTGGACTGCACTGGGCACCCAGGGGGCCAGTCCCTTGGTCTCTCTAAGTCTTCATGGCCCATCTGCAAAATGGGGCATCCCTGCTGGGTGGATCTGGGGATGGGATGGGGTCGTGAGAGGTGATGGTGGTGCCTGGCACAGTCCGCGCTCCGTTGCTGGGAACTGCTGGAGTCCACCACATAGGGGGGCCTGTTCTGCCACACCCCACCTGCCACCCATCCAGGGCTACATCCCCTGGCTGTGTCCCTGGGGTCCGAGGACAGCTCAGCAGCCAGGGCCTGTGTCTCCCGGGGGCTGTGCTAAGGGGACAGAGTTGTGGGGGAGGGGTGCCCAGGTCAGCCAGCCTGGAAGGTCCAGTCTGGGGCCAGGGCCGACAAAGCTCCTGCAGGAGGCCAAACCTTCCTCGGGAACCCCAGCATCCTTGTCCTGCAGAGGAGCTTGGGCCAGAAAGGGCCAGTGGGGCTGACTCCGAGGGGCCAGCATGCACAGGAGGGGCCACTGGGGGTCCTGGCCCACCAAGCAGGGCCAGGGCAATGCCCCATCCTCACTCCCTGGGCCGCCCTGCAGACAAGAGCCTGCTACCTGTAATCAGTAGAAATGAAACTATGGAGCACGTCCTGCCCCTCCTCAGAAGTTTGGGGTGTGGGGCCACCACTCCCTGTCCCTCTCCCATCTGGGAACCAGCCCCATGTTGTCTGGGTTGCAGCAGCCCAGATGTCACGGCTGGGACAGGGATGGGCCCTGTGGCACAGACTAGAGCCTGGGCCAAGGCGCCCCTTGTCGGTGCACCTCCTGAAGCCAGCTCAGGCCTGGTCACTCTGCTCTGTGCAGACAGAGCCTGGGGTGGGGGGTGGGGGACAGGCTTGGACAGCAAGCCTGCAGCCCTGCAAGGGGCTGAGCTGGGGCCCTCAGAAATGAGCATCTCCGAGGGGCACCTGGGTGGCTCAGTTGGTTAAGCGACTGCCTTCGGCTCAGGTCATGATCCTGGAGTCCC